AAAAAAATTCATTATTTTAAAATTTCATTAGTTATACTGACAATCATAAGAAACATTAACTATACTGGCATACTGACAATTTTAGCATTAAAAATTATTTATATTAATTTTTTGTTGCTATTTATAGCGACAAAATTTTATAAACTGACTGTCGTTATAGATAGACCAATTAAATTAGATTAGCTTTATTAATTATTGAAAACTATAAATCGTAACACTAACCAAGCTAATACAATACCTCATGTAAAAGAAAAGCTACTGTATCAAAGAAAGATACTGTAGCCATAATCATTTTTTTTTTACATCATTTCAAGAAACATATGAAAGCTACTCCCAACTTATCTTATCCAACAATAATATTCAAATATAATTAGAAAAAACCTAAGCTAATGAGATACATTAGGACTATTAACTAGCAACCTGCACACTTAAATATCTATAAAGTTATTTCATTAACAAGAAAATCTAATTTCAAGAGGTTAATTTTGGTATATTGCTATACTATGTATAGCTATTAGTTGTAATAAATTATAATTCTTTTTTTAGAATAATTATTAAAGAATCTATATGTATATACATGTGTAGTTTAGTTTCAAACTAGCTATTACATGTATTGATCCAGGAATAATAAATAGATTCTCAATTAGATAATCATTTAAAGATGTATGCACTAGAAAATAAAGGTTAGTAGAAAATATTTCTTAATACATTATGCAAAAAATTTATCTGTGAAAATGTGGTTGCATGTAAAACTTGAAGTGTAAAGAGATAATATTCATAGTGGTAGTTTAAAAAGTAAAATAGAGTTTTTAAATGATTAATATTATAAATAAAAGGTTAAATTTTTTTAATACATTACAAAAATTTATAAAATATGTCTGATAATGATAGTGAAATTATTTCCACTAAGTGTAAAAGCAAAACCAAAGAAAAAAATAATGTAATATCTAAAAAACCTAGAAAAATATTAACTAGCAAGCAAAAAAAAATGTTATATCAATTTGCACGTGATAATCCAAACTTTACTCAACAAGAATTGGCAGATAAATTTGAAATCGGTCGAACAACCGTAGCTGATATTCTTGCACAATCATTATATTGGCTTGGTCTAGATGAAGAAAGTACTGTAGTATAACAAAAGCAGAATCGACCACTAGACTATCCACAATTAGAAGAAATTCTTGCACAATGGTTTGACCTTGTACTAGAAAACTATTTAACAATTATAGGGTTAATTTTACAAGAAAAGGCCAAACAGGTTGCAGCGACTTTAAAAATTCAAAATTTTGCTGTGTCTGATGGTTGGTTGCAAGATTTTAAAAAATGATATTATATTGTTTGTACTACATATTATGGAGAAGCTGCTAGTGCCCCTATTAAAAAATTACCTAAATTTCATCTATCTTTACAAAATAAAACATCAAATTATGATTTAGTAAATATTTATAATTGTGATGAAACAGCACTTTGTTGGCTTCAAAATCACTTACACATGGTCATATTTTAGGAG